TTACCTGCATTAATAAAATAACTAGCCGGCAATATTGTTGTCATCATTATTGTCATATGAAGTTTTGCACGTGCAAATATTCTACATGGTACTATATATGGAAATTTATATATTGGTATCCATTCACCTAAATCATCGGCTGGCATTCTGTTTTTTTTCATTGATTGATTTTTCCTCGACAAACTTGCATTTTTATTATTAATCGATGTTGAATGAAATGCTGCTGTTGTTGAAGCCGATAATATTGATCGAAATCGACAAAATAATACTGGCGGTTGACATGTTAATCGGATAATCTTATCAAACAAAAAATAATAATTTTAAATGAAAAATTATTTAAAAAAAACTTACTTTATTTTGAAGAAAATTCATTGATTTTTCGTTTTTCGAAATTCTGTTCTTCAAAACAAAACAAAAAAACAGAACAGAACATGTGTAAATTTGAATGTTGAATGTTGATTTTATACATTGAAAGTTTTGCACAGAATTTTTTTGAAAAAATAAAAGTATTTACAATGTATAAACAAAATGTAGATTTAAAATTCTTATTATCCTCTCATCGTAACAATCTATCATTGTTATTGAGAGAAAATGAAAAACAAACATCAACAAAAAATTATCATAATGATAATGGATCATCGCAAATCTCGAAAATCACGGAGAGAGAAAAAAAAGGTCAAATTTTCAATTTTCATTTCTAAATTTAATCCACCACGATTCTTCTTCTTCTTCTTCTTATTCGCCTCAATGGATGTTCTATTTTTTTTCTCGTTGATCATCTATTCATCACCACCACCACCAACACGATGCCATTCAGCCGACAAAAATGAAAATAATTTTCATATTCATATTGTCATTTTTTTCATATTTTATGCTATTTTAGAATATTCATCACCATCAACATTGAAATCAAACAAACAAAAACACCCAAGCGAGTGTGCAGTGTTAATAAAAACTAGAAGAATCTTTCTTTCTATCCATCTATTCTTTGTCTTCTTCGTAGTCTAATATTAGGTTTTGTTTTGTTTTGTATCAAACAAGCCATGGAAAATTTATGGTGTGAAGATGAAAATGATCATCGTGATGATCTGGCTTGGTTGTTTGATATTTATATCCACCAATTCCTTTCTTTCTATATGATTGTTGTTATGAATATCTTCTCTTTCTTTCTCTAGAATATTGATGTAATTAGTCGTTTTTTTTCCTAATAATTTTTCATTTTTTTTTCTTTACTTCATTAAGAAATCTTTTTTCTTCTAATTAGAATTATTATCATCCATATTCCATTCATCCATTCGGCTGAAAGTCGGTCAAATCAATGTTTTTGCATATTCTTTTCATCACTATAATCATTGTCGATGTTTGAATGTCTGTTTGTTTGTTTTCTGTTATTGATTTCAATTTGATGTCGTTGTTTTGATTTGTGTTTTTGATTGCAAATCAAAATCTAAATCAAAACAAACAGCAAACAAAAACAATTCTTCCGAGAGACGAGACAGGAAAAAAGAGAAATTCTCAATCAGAATATCGATCAACAATCAATAAACGTTTGATTTGTTTTTGCAACCAAAAACAATCTCGTGTATTTCATTCAACACCTACGCACCACACACTTCAGATTATTTTCGATTTTTGTCATAATGTTTTTTGGTTGTTGTTGTTTGCATTATCACATTCGGAAAGAAAAATGTCTTCAGATTTATATCGTGATTATTCAAATGAAATACTCAAACGACCATTACCAAAATTAGAACCACCACCACCAACACTATTCGCAATGAAAAATGAAAAAATGGTCAACATTGTCGAACAACAGCGACCATCATCATCATCGACTATAATCAATGTTCCACAACAACCATCATCATCATCCGCTGCCGGTAATCATCGTAAACAACAATGGAAAGCAAATGTCAATTCAGCCATATCAGGTAAAAAAATCATGAAAAACTTTCTGGGAATTTTATTTCCCGAAAACTTTCTTATAAAAATATTTTTATTTCACGTTTTTTATTTTTTATAAAATAAATTTCGTTTGCATATTATCATTCCGACGAAATAAAATACAATCATTAAATTTTGTTAAACGTTTTAATTCATGACCAAGTATTAATATTTGTTTAATAGCACGATAATCAGTAACCCAAATAGAAATTTTTGTAAAACATGATATACGCATTGAAAATACAATACCACATATTTGTTCAATAATATCTTTATGAAATATTGAACCTAACATAGCCATTATTATTTTATACCATAATTCATTAATAATTTGATCATAATTATCTTGTGATTTTTGTAAAATAAATATCCATTGTCCACCATTCATATTAGCCGGATCTTCCCACATTGGTTTTATACCTTTACGAAATAATGCATAATCTTGATTAATACGTACCATTGATGGTGAACGTTGTTTAGCAAAAAACATCCAAAATGATTCTATTGTATCGATTTCAACTAATGTTCGTTGACAATCCATCCATTTTTTTGTTGAACGTCTTCTAGCACGACGATAATGCCAAAATACCCAACAATTTTCTAATGGATGTAATGATAATGATGATATTGTTGTTGTTGTTGGTTTAATTGTCATCAAACGTTGTTGTTGTTGTTGATGATGATTTTGTTGTTGTTGTTGATTCAGTTGTTGTTGTTGTTGTTCATTTTTTCTATCATTATTTTCTGATGATTCAGCTAAATGATTGGCTAAATTTTTTAGTTCCATTTTCCGAATTTTTTGGATTTTAAAAAAAATATTTTTTCGTTTGGAAACAACAAATTTCCACGAAATCAACGACCAACCTTTAAATATTGGACAAAAAACGAACGAAAGAAAATTTAATTAAAGCGAACTTTAACACAGAAAAACATTCTTACTTTTTTTACTTTTCATTTTGTTCTAATTTGATTTAATTTAACACAGGAACTATTGGCGCCAATCCAGGATTATGTGCATTCATATTGACAATCATATCAATAATATTGATTACAATAACATTACCATTTTCATTATTTTTCTGTATAAAAGTTGTACAAGAATATGAACGTGCTGTTATATTTCGTTTAGGACGTTTAACTAAAGGTGGTTCAAAAGGACCAGGTATATTTCTAATCATTCCTTGTATTGATTCTTATCGTAAAGTTGATCTTCGTACTGTATCGTTTGATGTACCACCACAAGAAGTAAGTTGATCAATGATCAAAGTTTGGTGAAGAATAATAACCGAACCTTTTTTTCCCATTCAAATCATACGAATAGATTTTATCACGTGATTCGGTAACAGTTTCCGTTGATGCAGTGGTTTATTTTCGTATTAGTAATGCAACAGTTGCTGTTTCGAATGTTGAAGATTATGGCCGATCAACTCGTTTGTTGGCTGCAACTACATTGAGAAATGTTCTGGGTACTAAAGATCTATCGCAAATTCTAAGCGAACGTGAATCAATATCGCATGTTATGCAAAGTTCATTGGATGAAGCAACCGATCCATGGGGTGTTAAAGTTGAACGTGTTGA